GATTGATTTAATACTCGAGTGTGGTGTGACGGTGTCCAATGTAGAGGCACATTGTGTGGCTTTATCAGAAGGGGATCGGAGGTAAACGGTTAAACGGCGCCTATATAACATTCTTTGCGTGGCACGGTGACGCATGGCATTATCGTAAGGCGCCTTGCCGGGGTGACTCTTTCACACATGGAGACGTGACGTAAATGTGTTTAATTATTCGTATTACTTTCCGTTCCGTAGTCTTCACATCGTATTGCTCATTTCATCCTCCCTTCGCGTGGCAAGACCTTTGGCTCCGATTGGCTCCCACGCAGCAGTGAACTTTCATGCGTTGTACGTAAATTCAATAGGGACAATAACGTCCCGGTACTTAGCCGCAGCCAGCCGTGTCTCCTTCCCGGAAATAAAATAATCTGAAACGGCTCTCTCATCTCGTCGCCGGGCGGCGGCGGCTACGCTGCACGTGAAGGCTGCCTGTGATCCAGCACTACTGTGTGTAGAGGCGGCGGCAGCAGCAGCAGCAGTGAGGGGTTGGTGCATCGCATGTTGATGTTGCGGAAACTCCCTTCTTTCCGTGGGCGTCCAGGAGGAGCCGTAGCCCCTGGCTCGCCAGGAGAAGGCGGCACAGGGTACGCATTTGAGGCTGAGACGACCTAGGGGAGGCCCAGGACCAGTTCAGATAACCGTCACTGGTGTTGGCCATGAGTGGGAATTGAACTCGGGTCGCCGGGTTCGCAGCACGGGAACTTCTACACTACCGTTCCACAGATATACACACATACACTCATTAATTGTCAAATACCATCTTTACATACGGAGGACCGCAAAGCTTATGGAGTGAATTTTGGGCCGGCTCAACCTGTGGCCGTGGTTCCTCCTCGCACCGCTGAGTCGTCCTCTCTCTCTTCAAGAGCGAGCGAATACTCCGCGGAAACGCGCTACAAGCTGAACTGATTATTATCTCATTTAGCTTCATTATTGGCGACGACTGAATGAGGGCCGCACGGCTATTATGCAGCAGCTTACACAGATATGGTAATCACAGCAGCGAGGCATAGTGAATTACTGGCAGCAGGTCTACCATCGTTTTGCATGTATGTGTGTATGTGGAGCTTCCTTCGTACCGTACGTAGCCAACCGCGCTAATCGGAGGTGCGGTTGGAAGGACAACAAACTAAACACTAAAAAGCAGTTTTAAAGAAATGAGTTTGTCAATCTCGATGATGATTTAAAAGTGCATAGCTCCCAGTGGCTTCCTAATATCGGAAGGAAGAGCGTTCCAGACGGCCGCAGAAGCAGCGCATCTGAGAGCGCCGCGCCATCCGGCGACCGCCGTCTTTGTTCGATGGCCAGCCAAAAAGCCGCCGATGCGAGGATGACCCCGAGTTCGCGCTATGATGGTTTACACCGTGGCTGCATTTGGTAAAATCGCAGGCTCTCTCCGCGGGTCAGCAGAGCCCATGAGCACTCGGTTCTTTAAAGTAAATAAATAACTGCACCGCCACACCGCTTTGGCGGTGGTCGAAAGTCCAAGTGACTTCCCAATCAAATAAACAGTGACGCATTGGCGCTCATCTCCTGCTTTGCAGTCCCCGATCCAGTGTTGGGAAATTCCACATTCACATGGTCGGCGGCAGCGTCTCTCTGTTGTACAACCCCTGTTGACTTCTCCACAAAGTGGTACCCATTGCATTAACCACGGAGGGATGGTGAGCCTGAGTTTAACCTCCCCAAGCCAGGGGTTGAACTCGCAAGCTTCCCCCTCGCGAGCTGTCACATCTCTCCAATGGCCTTGCTATGAAGAAGGGCTGTTGCCCCGGAAAACGTCGCATTTTATAAACATTTTTCTTATAATTATTTTCAGGGCAGTGGTATTGACGAACGTGTCAAGTTCTTTTTTTCACCGCAAAATTTATTTTAAAAGTCCACATTTTAAAATAAAATAAAAGTAATATATTTTGACTCACATCTCGCAAAGTGCTTTAAGAATACAACCGACCGGATCCTTGCCAACTCCACCGATGTAAGCTGCCGGTTGTTATTCTCCCCCTCTCTCTCTCTCACTCGCCTGTGCGTGCCAATCTTCAAACCAAACATTGCACTGAAAATGTTGTTGGGGGTTTATTTTCTCTCCCCCACTGAAAAAAAACAACAACCCAACAGAGCATTAAGATGAGTGGAGCGGCAGACAACGCGAGGGGCCGGCCACCACCATGGGAGATTGAGCGACGGAATCGGCTCACGTGCAGGGTGGATTCATTACCATCACGGGATCTGACGGCAAGAAGATTTTGAAAAAGTCGCAGCCTGTCACTCACAGTGGCAGAGTTGGCAGACTGTGGTGAAATACACTTTAAAAAAAACCTGGCAACGCGTGGCAGCCCCTGGGCTGTGATGAACGGCTGTGGCTGTGATCCCAGTGTCTGCTGCTTGGGGAGGTCTTCATCCAGCAATGGATTGACCATGGATGATGATGATGATAGCGGTGGCATAATAAGGCCTTCATCCAGCAGTGGGTTGACCATGGATGATAATGATTAGCTTTGAATAATAATTTAGAATGTTTGTTATTTGCTCAACGTAGGCTCTGTGCTTCGTGGCCGGATGGAGTGCTGCCAGTAGGGGGCGACGCCGCTCTGTGTAATCCCAACCGAGTAATTTTCGCGGTGTATTCATTTAAAATTTGCTCAACTTGGGCCTTTGACGCCCCCGGCACGCGATGGCCCGTCTATTCGTTTCGACTGACGTCACGGGGATCCTTAACGTCCGCTGCAAAGCAGACGACGCGTATGAGTGCAGCTAATACGCACCCACCGCCGCAGCAATAGCCAGGGCGGCCTGCCAGATTCCGACCGCGAGCCTCTCCAGCAACGCGGCGACCCCCGCTGGACTGTATCACCGCGCCTCCTGCCTCCGCCGTCGCCCGCAAGTTTAAGTCCGTTGGGAGAAACGATTTACCCTGGTGCTCGCTGCAGCCACCCATACCAAGCGTCGGTGAAAGAGAGCTCTACGGCTCATTGGATTACCCCTGCAGTCTAAATAGAGACCGTGATTCTGACGGTAAGGAGATTTAAATAGAGACCGTGATTCTGACGGTAAGGAGATTTAAATAGAGACTGTGATTCTGACGGTAAGGAGAGATTTAAATCGAGACTGTGATTCTGACGGTAAGGAGAGATTTAAATCGAGACTGTGATTCTGACGGTAAGGAGAGATTTAAATCGAGACTGTGATTCTGACGGTGAGGAGATTTAAATAGAGACCGTGATTCTGACGGTAAGGAGATTTAAATAGAGACCGTGATTCTGACGGTAAGGAGATTTAAATAGAGACCGTGATTCTGACGGTAAGGAGATTTAAATAGAGAATGTGATTCTGACGGTAAGGAGAGATTTAAATCGAGACTGTGATTCTGACGGTAAGGAGATTTAAATAGAGACTGTGATTCTGACGGTAAGGAGAGATTTAAATCGAGACTGTGATTCTGACGGTAAGGAGAGATTTAAATCGAGACTGTGATTCTGACGGTAAGGAGAGATTTAAATCGAGACTGTGATTCTGACGGTGAGGAGATTTAAATAGAGACCGTGATTCTGACGGTAAGGAGATTTAAATAGAGAATGTGATTCTGACGGTAAGGAGAGATTTAAATCGAGACTGTGATTCTGACGGTAAGGAGAGATTTAAATCGAGACTGTGATTCTGACGGTGAGGAGATTTAAATAGAGACCGTGATTCTGACGGTAAGGAGATTTAAATAGAGAATGTGATTCTGACGGTAAGGAGAGATTTAAATAGAGACCGTGATTCTGACGGTAAGAAGATTTAAATAGAGACCGTGATTCTGACGGTAAGGAGATTTAAATAGAGACCATGATTCTGACGGTAAGGAGATTTAAATAGAGACCGTGATTCTGACGGTAAGGAGATTTAAATAGAGACTGTGATTCTGACGGTAAGGAGAGATTTAAATCGAGACTGTGATTCTGACGGTAAGGAGATTTAAATAGAGACTGTGATTCTGACGGTAAGGAGAGATTTAAATCGAGACTGTGATTCTGACGGTAAGGAGATTTAAATAAAAAGCGGCAACCTGCCACTTGCAGCGGCAGAGTTGGCAAACTGTTGGCAAAATACACTTTAAAAAAAAACTGACTCCGTGTGGCAGCCCTCGGGACTGTGATGAACGGCTGTGGCTGTGATCCCAGTGTCTCCTGGATGTTGATTAAGGGAGTAAAGACAACAGCGGGGCAACGTGCATGGATGGTCTGAGGCGGCGCGGGGATTTTCAAGGAGCTGTCATTTGATCTCCACGGAGCCACCCTCCTTGCAGCTAAACGACTTTCGGAAACCAACTCCAAAATAAATTTCAGAGCATTGCGATCGCTGGCGACAAAAAAAGAGAGACATGCGCAACTTTATTTATTTATTTTTGCCCTTTCCCCAAAAATTTATTCGGATTGCACACATCCGTGTCACGTCCGTGGCCCTGGATTTGAATCCAGAAAGCGAGCTGCATTGCATAGAGACCCATGGCCATCACAGACACCCATAAACTCACGTGGAGACCCAAAGGCCCACAAAAAGCCGCTGCTGCTGCTGCTGCGAGGATGACCAGAGTTCGTGCGACGGTTTAAGCACCTCGACGAGATCGGCGAGGTGCCGTGGTTCAATAACGCGGAGATTCCCGAACGGGCTCCGTTTCGAGGATCATTTACTTCCATTTAAAGTTGAGCCTGCGCGCAACCTTTGGGACAATCTGTCCGCCTTGCCACTTCTGAAAACTCAAGCAAGAACCGGGCCCATCGATTTTCAACAGCGGCGGCGGCGGCGGCGGCACCACCAAGTACTTGTGGAGGACACTTGAGACCATTTGAGGGAGTGCAGGCAGAGCTCGCTGCGAGGAGTAGGGGACGTGCGGTGGTGCTGAGTGCTGGTGGATGTGACGTGTGTTTGCGGAAGGAGAGTGTGGGGGGCAGAGGTGGGGTGGGGGTGGCGGGGAGTCGTACCGGTGGAGGGGGACGTGGAGCATCCGAGGGGTTCTCTGCCGCGGGTTCCGCCGGACGCTTCTGCGACTCTTCACCCTGCTCCTCCGCCTCGACGATGCTGTGCGCGTGTGTTTGTACGCGCACACACAGTGACACGAAGATGAAGAACCCCCCCCCTCCCCACCACTACCATATACCCTTTAACAGACTGTTGGAGCAAGTGTTGTTAGCGAGCACCTATCAACGTCGGCAGGGTACACGGAGGGTGGCCAGCGCCGCACAACGTGACCGTCCCCTTGTTTACGCACCGCGACCGAGTAATTGATTTAAGGCTGAGTCGACCTAGAAGAGGCCCAGGTCCGGTCAGCGAGCGGGAATTGAACCCGGGCCGCCGGGTTTATAGCGCAGCCGGCCCGAACCGCTGCGCCACCGCTCGCCGCACCGCGCCACACCGCGCACGCATGCACGCTCACAAGCAGCGCAGACGCACACACCCCACATCCCCGGAGAACCCCCCGACCACCCCCATGTGCCCCCCTCCCCCCCCCCCCCCCCCCCCCGCTGCTTTGAAATGCAAATCTCCTCCGTGCAGTTTGGGCAAGATTAGTTTAAAATACAGGCTCGGCCGTTTGACGGCCAGTTAAAAATAAATAGGATTTCTTTTCTTTTTTTTAAAAATACATTAAAATCTGCACGTTTCCTCGCTTCTCTGCCGTCCGCACGCTCGGTCTCCACCCACGACCCACGAGTTCCTCTCATTAATTTTCAACAGTTAATGTTACGTTCGCTCCCAAAGCGGCGCCGGCACGTAATGTGACCCTGCTACGGGATCCAAAAGCATTGCGCTGCCCCATCCCCGCCGACCCCCACCCTCATCTCGGTGGCTGCCCGAGTGACTTCGTGTTTTGAGCTCGCGTCTTGTTTCCCAAGGCCAAGCAGGGTCAGCGTTGGCTAAATAATCATAACAAAACAGCCTGTAACGGCGCCAGCGCAATATATCACAGGCACGTAACGATCGTGTCACTCGAAAAAAAGGAGAAGGAGACCGGGGCCTTTAGGTGACTCTTGAAAGTCGGTGTGGATTGAACGCTGCCGCTGCGAATGTTCAGCGAGATGACGACGATGATGACGACGATGATGATCAGTTTAACACGTAGGCTTTCGCGACAAATATCGTCCATAATGTCCTTTTTTGGGTTAGATCACGCGAATATAAATGTGTATTTAAGGAACGAAACAGGAGGATTTCTCCACAAATCTGGCTGTCGCCCGATGAAACTGGTTGTAATTACTGGCGAAACGTCGTTCTCAGATGGTAAATGTTGTGGAATTACTCTCCAACACACCGGTGGTGCTGTACTAGTGACGAATTGCCATGTTCCGTTCACGTGAGAAACCTCACTAATTGGCTGTGTCGGGTGGTGGTGGTGGGTTTAACGACACATTCATATTCACACACTCTAACAAAAAAAACCTATATTATGGATGATGGCGACGACGACGATGATGACGACGACACTGATGATGATGACAACGACTATGATGACGATGACGTCGACGACGATGATGACGACGACAATGATGATGATGATGAAAACGATGACTACGATGATGATAGCTGAATTGGAGAAACGACGCCTGGCAATGCCGGTCCTGGTCCTCGGTGTAGAGAGCAGGAGCTGGACGAGGAGGAGGTTGTGAGTCATGATACTGCTGCTGCTGCTGCGGAGAGTTCCGCTGCGAACTGTGGTGCAGGGTGACAGGAGCTGTGGTGCAGGGTGACAGGAGCTGTGGTGCAGGGTGACAGGGGCTGTGGTGCAGGGTGACAGGAGCTGTGGTGCAGGGTGGCAGGAGCTGTGGTGCAGGGTGACGGGAGCTGTGGTGCAGGGTGACAGGAGATGTAGTGCAGGGTGACAGGAGCTGTGGTGCAGGGTGACAGGAGCTGTGGTGCAGGGTGACAGGAGCTGTAGTGCAGGGTGACAGGAGCTGTAGTGCGGGGTGACAGGGTTGTGGTGCAGGGTGACAGGAGCTGTAGTGCAGGGTGACAGGGGCTGTGGTGCAGGGTGACAGGAGCTGTGGTGCAGGGTGACAGGAACTGTGCTGTAGGGTGACAGGGGCTGTGGTGCAGGGTGACAGGAGATGTGGTGTAGGGTAGCAGGAGATGTGGTGCAGGGTAGCAGGAGATGTGGTGCAGGGTGACAGGGTTGTGGTGCAGGGTGACAGGAGATGTGGTGCAGGGAGGCAGGAGCTGTGGTGCAGGGTGACAGGAGCTGTAGTGCGGGGTGACAGGGTTGTGGTGCAGGGTGACAGGAGCTGTAGTGCAGGGTGACAGGGGCTGTGGTGCAGGGTGACAGGAGCTGTGGTGCAGGGTGACAGGAACTGTGCTGTAGGGTGACAGGGGCTGTGGTGCAGGGTGACAGGAGATGTGGTGTAGGGTAGCAGGAGATGTGGTGCAGGGTAGCAGGAGATGTGGTGCAGGGTGACAGGGTTGTGGTGCAGGGTGACAGGAGATGTGGTGCAGGGAGGCAGGAGCTGTGGTGCAGGGTGACAGGAGCTGTGGTGCAGGGTGACAGGAGCTGTAGTGCAGGGTGACAGGGGCTGTGGTGCAGGGTGACAGGAGCTGTGGTGCAGGGTGACAGGAGCTGTGGTGCAGGGTGACAGGGGCTGTGGTGCAGGGTGACAGGAGCTGTGGTGCAGGCTGACAGGAGCTGTAGTACAGGGTGACAGGGGCTGTGGTGCAGGGTGACAGGAGCTGTAGTGCAGGGTGACAGGAACTGTGCTGCAGGGTGACAGGAGATGTGGTGCAGGGTAGCAGGAACTATCATATATATTTAAGGCCACTGTGTTATTGACGAATGTGTTGTGCACCACTACCAACGCAGTAGCAGCATCACTCTGTAATGTATGTATTGTATGTAGTCTCACACAGAGACCCATCGACTCACACGGACTCACACAGAGATGGGGCATGACCTGAACGATCAAAGAGGCTCACACAGAGACACATGGACTCCCTGCCCCCTGTTCAAACCCAGGTGTCAAGACCTTTCTTCCCCCACCCCCCCCCCCCCCCCCCCCCACATATGACTGACTGCTTCTCACATCATTGAATACTCATCTTCATAATAATAACTGCATGTTATATAGCGTCATCCATGCTAACTAAATGCTACACCGCTGTACAATAATACAATACACTTGGATTTACCGATTGATTCAATACATTCCAACCCACATTGATCGCATCTAAAAAAAATCTAAAATAGGGTTTTTATGTGGCTTGGCTCTCCAACACACCGGTGTGCTGTACTAGTGACGAATTAGCACGTTCTGTTTACGTGACAACCCTTACTAGTTGGCTGTGTCGGGTGGTGGCGGGTTTAACGACACATTTATATATTTACGTGATCTAACCCCCCCCAAAAAAACGTATTGATTATATTGGTCGCGGAAGCCTACGTGGTAAACAGAAAGAAGCACCGTTTTCACCATTGCGTTGTGCCTGCAAATTGCTGAAGTTGGCATTCCACCCCTTTTTGACTACAGATCAGCTAAAATGAAACACACCAAACAGATTCTTAGTTTTTTCGGTAAAGTCACGTTGAAGAGAAACAACAAAATAAAAAAATATATATAAAACAATAAAAATTCTCACGACGTTTCGACCATAACTCAAACGGTCATCATCAGGTGTGTCGGTTTGCATAAATTTATTTTGAAAACGGCATATTTATTTTTTTTATATAAAATAACGTTTGCGTCACGCGCAACGATTGGCTGTTTGCCAGGACTAGTCCATCTATTTTTTGAAAAGAGGAGGGGGGAGACGAAATTTGTTTTTATGTATGCTGTCTGAAAGCCACTGTAAGCGTGAACAATCAATCAAGAACTGAAATGATTTATCAAATCTTTCCAATGATTGCTAAGATAGAATCCATCTTCTCGGTTGAAATTGTCTCTGTGTTTGTATATGTGGATAGCCTCATGAACGAATCTCTCATGGAAGCCAGATGGCTTACAAAGAACCTCCGTCTTGGAAAAGTCAATGGCATGTGAGCCTACTGAATTAGAACAATGATCTGCTACGGCCGAGGTGTTGGTCCTACCGTGTTTAAGGTCTGCTTTATGTTCACGAATGCGGTCCGAGATATGGCGTTTGGTTTCTCCAATGTAACTACTACCACAGAGGCAACTTAGTTTGTAGACACCAGGGTATTGTATGTCCGGAATCACATCTTTTACAGACGGAACCAGATCACGGATTTTATGTAATGTGTTGAAACGGACCTGGATCTTGTGTTTATTCAAGATTTTGGAGATCTTTTTTGTGATCCCAGCAATGTAGGGTAAAGTGATGGTTTTGAAAGGCTCCTCAAGAGGGTTCTTCTTCATGGTTTGAGTGATAGCTTTGCGGATTGTATAGTCGGAGTAACCATTAGCCCTAAGAGCTTGGTGTACGTGCTTGAGTTCACTGCTTATGTGTTCCTGGTCGGATATGCATTGGGCTCTATGATACAGAGTCTTGATGAGAGAATTCTTCTGTGATGGATGGTGGTGGGAATCCGGTTTCAGATAAGCATCCGTATGGGTAGCTTTCCTGTAGACAGAGTGGCTCATTGAACCATCAGGTCTCTTTTTAATTAGGACATCCAAAAAAGGTATCTTGCCATCTATTTCGACTTCCATGGTAAATCTGATGGCTGGGTGTATGGAATTGATGTGGTCGAAGAATTGGTCTAGAGCAGGCCGGCCATGTGGCCAGATGACAAAAGTGTCATCCACGTACCTCTTCCATAAGGTTGGGCGCAGAGTGGCAGTCTGGATGGCGTCAGTCTCAAATTTCTCCATGAAAATGTTAGCTATAACTGGAGAAAGGGGGGAGCCCATTGGGGTGCCCTCAGTTTGTTTGTAGAAAGTTCCATTCCAAGTGAAGTATGTATTGGTTAAACAGTGTCTCACCAGGGGGGGTACCTCAGTGTTTAGTCCTTGATGAACCAAGTCTTCAATGATTGCAATGGTGTCAGGTACAGGAACCTTGGTGAATAAGGAAACTACATCAAAACTGACAAGCAGGTCGTCTGGGGACAGGGAAATACCCTTGATTGTTGATACCAGGTG